TCTGCACAACAAAGGGCTGGGCCGCAGAACTTCCCCCTCTCTAGCCCTTGGCTCTTCCACACTCTCCCTAAGGGCAGGCCCCGTACCACTGCCGTTTTACAAACAAACATAAATGCTGCAACATGGTGGTCAAAGTCATTTTGTTGACACAGCATGATAAAAGGAGAGCCAGCACTGGGGTGTGGTCCCTGCTGCTAGAGGCAGAAAAAGCACCTTAAATGAGGTGTAGACAGAGGCCACACAGAATCTCCTTTGACCTGCTCCAACCAGGGAGACGGACACCATGGTGGCCACTTCCCCAGGGAGGAAGGTCAGTAACCAGCCATGGGAGCCACACTAAGGGTGAAGCCAGGACTCTAACCCAGCTCTGCCCAGAGTCCCTGCTCCTTCCATTCCCAGTGATGTAGGCCTTTGCTGGCACATCATGACCCCCAGATTCTCACAATGTGCTCCAACATCCACCACGAGCCTCAGGCCCCCACAATGTGCTCCTATGCCACCTGACCCCCTGGTCCTCACGATGTGCTCCAACACCCACCACTGAGTCCCTGGTCCCCACGATGTGCTCTAACACCTGACTCCTTGGCCCCACACGATGTGCTCCAACATCCACCACGAGCCTCAGGCCCCCAGCATGAGCCTCAGTCCCCACAGTGAGCTCCAACACCTCCCATGAGTGTCAGCACCCCGCCCCCACCAAAACCCCCTTGCAGCTTCCCAGCTGCCCTGTAAGTCATGCAGCAGCCCTGGCTCCCACGTCAGCATCCATGAATCATGCCGTGTCTCCCCCACTGAGAGAGTTCACTTCTCCTTTTCCTTCCTCCAACGACCCTACTGTAATGGCAGGAATTTGTCACCAGGCTCAAGACAAAGCTGCAGCAGCAAGAAGATGAGGCAGCGCCACTCAACCAAACTCAGGGACCCCAAGAGTCTGGGGTTTGGACTCGTAATTCCCAGCGAGAATGGCTGGAAGACACAACTGCCCGGGTATCGCGAGCCCATGGCCACACCACCACCTCTGCAGGTAGACCCTGCCCAGGGGCAGCCCTGGCACCGAAGCTGGGGTGGAGGGCGCCACAATGCCTCACCCCCCTGTGCCTCAGGGGTCAGGGTCCTGCTCTGCTGGAAACCTCTATCTGAAGGGCAAACAGTGCTAGAAGGGAGGCTCTGGAGGAAGGGCCTCGCTCGGTTCAAGCCTCGGCCCCGCTTCCCAGCGCAGCAAGGAGCCGAGGGGGAGCCTGCCTGTCCCCAGCACTGGTGCTGGGGGCCAGAGGCGGGAACAACAGGTACTCCGTGTTCCGAAGAGGGCCCCAGACATCAGGGCCAGCGCTCACGCCCCTCCCAGGGCTGCTCACAGTCAGCAGAACCAGTACTACCACTAGCACCTCCCCGCCTTCCGGGCTGTAGGAGAAGGTGGAGAGTGGAGAAAAAGAGTCATCCATCAGCCTGCTGGCAGGAGGGTGGCATGTGTGGTGGGAGATGTGACCATCACCCCAGGCCACTGAGGACAGAGCTCCAGGGGAACGGCTCAGGGGCATCAGGAAGCAGGGGACCTGACCACCCCGCTCCCTGGACAGGTGCTGTGCAGGGAATGCTCAGACCCAAGAGGTGAAGACCTGGGAACAAAACGGGTTGTGGACAGAGTCCTGCCAGAGGCCAACCTGTGCCACGGAGGTCTGAGGACACCAGGGACCCGGGAGCAGCGCCAGCCTCAACCTGGGATCTGTGTGGGTGGTGGGGCCCGAGGCAGGCAAAGAACAGAAACGGGAAGGAGGGAGACCTTGGAAGAGACCCAGGTGGGCACCAGCCTGTTACCTGCGTGGCTCCGCCCGAAGACGGGATTGGCCGGAAGGGGGATGGGCAGAGGGAGTCAGAAAAAAACCAAGTCCACGATGTAGACACGGACACGTGGCAGGGTCACCCACAGAGGCAGAGCAAGCCGCACGTGAATAGGAGTGTGGGAGTTACTTGTGACAACACTGGCCACCCTCCCCCCAACTCAGGCCAGTCCCAGAAGAGCCAGATTCCAAAGATGGAAGAAGAGAGACTAAGAGCACAGCCCCCAAGGGATCAGACCACGACACTCAGATGGTCGGGGCCGCTCACGCAGGAGCCGCACAGGATGCATCCTCACCTCTCTGACCTTCAGAGGAGAGAGTGAGAACACCCTTTTCTGGAGTTATCAAGAAGGATCCAGAGACATGTCAGTAAGCCCCAGGGGCTGGGCCCGGCACAGATGACAAGAACAGTAAAAACTTCCTCCAGCTCCAGGACCACCTTTCAGTTCCTCCCCAGACTTCTGCCACGCTGGTCCCGACACCGCCCTTTCCTTCTTCGCACCCGGTCTCCCAAACTGCCCCACACCCACTTCTTCTCTGAGGACTTGGGTCCCACCCAAGCCTCCTGAAGCTTAAATATATGCTCCCTTAGATCTCCGGAGTCACCACTTAACTGCGTGGTACGTACACTTTGTATCCCCCCCCGACGGGTTCACCTCTCGGTGAACAGGTGTTACATACGCAGTAGGCTATGTTCTCCCACAAAATACTATACCGCAAAGGACAGTCCTGACACTCAGATGTCAGAGGTGTGGGTGGGTCTCCCGGCTTCTCCGAGCACTGACTGTGTAACCTTGCATGAGTCACTTAACCTCTCTGACCCTCCCCAAAAAGGGGACGCTATCTGAAGGCTGCTGTGAAGAATAAGACAAACCACTCAGATCTGTGCCTAGCGCACACACACACACAGTACGTGCTTCTTAATGATCTCCTGCTACCCCTCCCTCCACATCTGATGTGCTTGTTCTGAGGTGGGACCTGGGCGGCAGTAATTCTTGAAGCTCTCCTGGCAATTCCAGTGTGAGAACCTTGTCTATGGGAAAGGACGTGGGGGCCGCCTGGGGGGCTCAGTCAGTGAAGCATCCGACTTCGGCTCAGGTCACGATCTCGCGGTTCATGAGTTTGAGCCCCGCGTCCGGCTCTGTGCTGACAGCTCAAAGATTGGAGCCTGCTTTAGATTCTGTGGCTCCCTCTCTCTCTGTCCCTCCCCTGCTCATGCCCTCTCTCTCTCTCTCAAAAATAAACATAAACAATTTTTTTAAAAATAAGAGTAGGTACACGGGAAGGAAAAGGAAGACAGTAGCATCAGAGGTGAGCACCGAGCTGAGCCCCAAAAGGTGATCCCTTTAGAACTCCCCAGAAATATCAGAACATTTGTCAGGAAGCCAGGGAATGGCTCTCTACTCTGCAGGGTCTCGGATGCCAGCACTCAGAGATCACCTCTTCCGGCCCAGCCACGCTGGAGATATAAAGGGGGGGGGGGAAGACTGGGAAGATATAAAGAGGCCAAGGCCAGGGCTTGAGGCCTCTTGGCCTGAGTGGCTCCGTCTGCCTGGTCACTCTTTCCCTCACTCAGCATTTACTTGCCAACCAGCAGATGGTGCAGAAACAGTGGCCCTGGCCCTAATCCAGCGGAGTGCAGGATTTGCATGCAATTAGCAGAGAGCCACGGCACTGCCCGACGCTTCCCTTGTTTTTTCTTCTTTTAAAACGGAACACAAATAACGATCTCAATACAAAATACAACCGCTGTCACAGTGCTGGAAGTAACATCAACCCACCTGACTTTTGGATCTTGCTGGAACTACCCCTTCCCAATGCCACTAAAAAGCTGGACTACTCTACAATGTAGATGACTGCCTCAACCAGTTTTGGGACTTGAAAGTAGTACCTGCAGAGATAATACCCACTAGTCGTGGACTGGGAAATATGTCGCTACATAGGACGTATCAGCAGACTTCAAGGGTGGATCCATTTTTATAAGACTGTAATAGCTGCTAAATGGTACGTGTGCTATTTTGCAGTCAGAACGTATTTCCACCAGATTTCCAAGCACAGTCTCCTACCACACCACGGCAACCTTCTTCTCTCTTTTCTTGTCTCTCTTTTTTTAAGCAATGACATTTTCTTCAGACAAATAGGGACGCTGTTAAAAAGAATGTAATGCCTGCTCGCACAAAGCCTCTGCTCATGAGAAAGCTCTTAAGTCAACAGGTGACAAGGGCCGAGTCCTTGTGAAAACGCACACTTTACTTTTTGGAAAGCTAATGAAAATCAGAGATGACGGTGACAGCATTGTGTTATTAAACCTTTATGCAATTCTTTACAGGGTATTTGCACAGCACTTTTACAATTACTGTACTTTCCTTAAGCCAGCCGTCACGGCAGCCAAGTCAATTCACATGGTCCCCCATTAGCTTATTAACAACATGCCTCATAAACTGGTTCCTCCATGCTCGTAAAAGAGCCCCAGAAAACTTCATGGCTTTTTCTTGGGGCCGCTGAAACCGGCTCAGACAGCAAGCCCGCCGGCCACAGCAGCTTGGGAGCTGGGTGTCACCCCAGACTGCTGTTTAACAGCCCTTTGAAATGAATCAGTAAGCTCTAGTTCATTCAAAAGGGGTCCTGAGCTGGCGATGAAAAACATCCAAAACGGGACAGTCTCACCTTGCCATCACTCAAAAAAAAAAATCGGGGTCTGGCCCAAATCTGGAGGCCGACATGCAGATGACCTTTCCAGGCTCAGAGTTCGGTGCCCTGGGATGACGGATGGAGGAGACCTTCTGGAGTTCAAGGCTCCCTGGCGGACACACGTGTCAGCGGTAATGATCCGGATGAGCGACGGAAGATGCAGCTATGCCCGGACAGTGAGAGCGCGAAACCCAATAGACCATGTTGAGCTAAGGGCAGACACGGACTTGGGGGCCTCCGGCCCTCACTTTCTTTCGCTTTCGCCTCTTTTGGGAATATAAGGGCGACACCTGAGAGAATGGCCTGCAGGTATGACAGGCCTCGGGTGACCCCAGCCCAGTGCCTTTTCCCCTACACTCTTAGTCCTGGAGCTCCGTGACCCCAACCCCCCCAGACAGCCGTCGCCCCTGCACCTGCCAGGTGAGCGCCTTCCCAGGTGCCTCCCGCTCGCAGCGCCCTTCCGCGACTCACCTGCGTGAAATACAAGTTCATCAGCGTGAGGGTGAAGAACTGGAGACACACGGGGAAGCAGTAGAGCAGCCAGAAGACGAAGGGGCTGAGCGCATTGGCCGCCACGAAATCTTTGAAGTAGAAGGAGAAGAGGACCGTCCGCAGGGAGGCCCAGAAGAGGCAGAGGAAGAGGAAGACGCTCTGGTAGCTAAGCCGCTTGTGGCGGTAGCGCAGCACCAGCCAGAGCTGTACGTAGATGAACACGAAAAGCAGCGAGTAGAACACGGTGTAGACGATAGTGAGGCCGAGCTTCACGTAGGGGGGCACGGCCGGGGTCAGCGTGGGCGGCAGCGAATCGTTGCGGAGGGGGTCCCACGGCGGAGCCTCCATCGGGCCGGGGGCGCTGCAGCGGGGCGGGAGGCGCTCGGGCCTCATCTGGGTTCGCGGCCGCCGCCGCCGCCCCCGCGGGGGTCTCCGAGCATCGCGCTCCGCCCGGAGCCCGGCGACTGGAGGAAAGAAAACAAGCCGCACTTCCTCCCCCGGCACCACATGATTCACTGGGGCGGCCTTTGTCTGCGATTGGCAGCGCCGCGCCCGCCAGCCCCGCGCGCCCCTGCACCGCCCCGTGCGCCCGCGGGAGCCCACCCCGCGGCCCGGAGCCGCACGCCCACCCGCCCCGCGCCGGCCCCGCTCCGCCCCTCCGCACAGCGCGTCCCTGGCGCCGCCCCGCCCCCCGCCAGACACCGCGCCACTACTCTGCCCCGCCCCCCGACACCACGCAGCGCGCCCCAGCACCGCACCGCCCTCTGCCCCGCACCCCGACACCGCGCGGCGCGCCCCGACACCGCGCGGCGCGCCCCGACACCGCGCGGCGCGCCCCGACACCGCGCGGCGCGCCCCGACACCGCGCGGCGCGCCCCGACACCGCGCGGCGCGCCCCGACACCGCGCGGCGCGCCCCGACACCGCGCGGCGCGCCCCGACACCGCGCGGCGCGCCCCGACACCGCACTGCTCCTTCGCCGGCGCCCGCCAAACACCGCTCAGCGCGCCCCAGCTCGGCCCTGCCCCGGGGCCAGACGCCGAGCCGCTACTCTGTCCCGCACCCCGACACCGCGCCGCGCGCCCCAGCACCCCACTGCCCCTGCCCCGCCAGACACGGCGCCACTACACTGCCCTGTCCCGGCCAGACACCGCGCCGCCCCCAGCACCGCACCGCCCTCCGCCGAGCATTGTGTGGGGCGCCCCATCACCGTACCGCCCCCTGCCCCGCTTCCACCAGGCACCGCGCGAGCCAGCACCGCGCTGGCCCAGCCACTGTGCGGCTCACCCCAGCACCGCGTGCCGCTCCCCCCAGCCCCAGCACCGCGTGCCGCTCCGCAGTCGCGGCCAGCCAGACACCGCGCCGCGCTCGGCACCGTGCGCCGCCCCCCCCCCCCCCCCCCCCCCCCCCCCCCCGCCATCGCAGGGCGCTTCCCGCTTCCTCCCGCTACCTGCTAATAATTACTTTTTTCCCTAAAGTTAATTCTTTTATTTCAAAAAAACAAACTCTGGAAGTGCTTTATTAAATTAAAAAATACAACTGTACGACTCTGGCTATGAAGTGGCTGGCGTTTTTCCTTGGAAATCTCAAGCTGGGGTGATATTTATTTCTAAATCCAGAAACTGCCCAAGATAAAGTTTGTGTTTTTGAGGTCACGTGTACCCGGAGTGGGGAAAGGGATGGTTCTGTGGCTGCTTCCTGGTCCCGGTGATGCACACAGCGTGCCCCTCACAGCGCCCCTCGCCTCGCAACAGCGCGGTTGGTACAGTGAGGAGCGTGGGAGGCGGGTGGGTCAGCGCCACGGTGGCCGCAGGACTCAGGAATGAAGCGTGACTGACTGCCCCGGGCGTGCTGCCTCCCATTCCAGTCCAGCCCACGACGGGCTGGCCTGTCCACCAGGCCCCCAGGCCCCTCATTTGCTGCGCCCGAGAGGGTCGATCCTGCCAGACAGAAAACTTGACTTAGTTTACACCCCAGGCCATCTCTCTCTAGGTTACCCTGGGGTGCTGTCACTTGTGGAGTGCTGGGGACAGAGAGGGGATGCCAGGCTGACCTCTGGAAGCACTCTAGGCAAGCAGTTCCGGTAAACAGAAGAAAGGGGCCCGAAACTCCAAGGCTCCGGTAATTTCTTGTGACTCCTTTTCTCATCTTTATAGTCAACTTCGTGTGGAATTGTGTTTTTCTCAAACGATCCCCTGGAGCCTGGATCCAGCCCTGTTTTTCTTCCAAATTAGTGTTTACACTTTCCCAATCTATTTCAGGAGCTTCACCAAGGCCGAGTGTACCTTTGGTGTCGGCCCTTATTCCAGCCTAACTTTTCTTTCTCATCATCATTTAAAGAGGAAATATCGGGGTGCCTGGGTGGCTCAGTTGGATGAGTGTCCAAACTCTTGACTTCTGCTCAGTCCATGATCCCAGGATTGTGGGATCAAGCCCCACCTCAGGCTCTGAGCTGAGCATTGAATTTGCTTAAGATTCTCACTCTCTCCCTCTTTCTCTCCCCTTCTGCCCCCGCCCCCACTCACATGCTCATGCTCTCTCTCTAAAATAATAGATAAATAGGAAATATTCCCCCACCTCTGATCTTGTTCCCCTCAATCCCTTCCGCACAGAGAAGCTGGAGTAATTTTTCTGAGGAATAAGTCTGACCATGTCACTCCTAGGATTAATAACATTCACTTGCCCCTCACTGTTCTGAGGATAAAGTCCACATTCCTACCCAAGCTTACCTCCCTGACTTGTCTCTCTAACAGTTGTTACAGAGTGTTAAACACCTTTTAACTCGGCTACACCTAGAAAACTCTTTCCACCCCTTCCTCCAACAACTAGCCAAATCCTATTCATGTAGAAGGAGGTTACTTCCTCCTGAAAGTCTCCCCATACTACTCCACCATCCACTCAGGATTAGGTTAGATGTACCACCTGTGTACCTAAAGAGCAACCTTGAATAATTTGTCAGTCACCCCACTTGTTTGTAAGTTTCCTTTGGCTAAAAATTATGCTTTGTTTAACCAATGTCTTCTGAGTGTTTGCCTGGAGATTAAAAAAAAATCTGTTATTATTTTATTATGCTGAAAGAATATAGTTTGTCATCAGAGGCCCAGGCTCTGATATTTCTCTTTCACATGTGAGACCTCTATTCATAAGACTACCTTAGGACCCAAGATGGCTGCCAGCTCTCCAGCCACTGCATCCGCCTCCCAGGCTGGCATTAGGAAGAACGGGGGAGATCTAGAGGGCACTTGTCCTTTCCTGTTAATGGAACCTTCCCAGAAATGTCACAGAATGCATCCACTTTCCCCTCATTGTTAAAACTTAGTTTTAACCTTAAAGAGGCAACTGCAAGAGATTGGGAAATGTAGTTTTTATTCCATATGCCAATATGCACAGCTACAAGTCAAGGTTTTGTGATTATGGATGAAGAGGAGAATGCATTTGGGGAAGAATTAGCAGTCTTTACCAGCATCGAATGTGCTTCTTACTATTCTTAACATTTTTGAAAATAAAAACTATAGAAAATTAAAATGCTTGCGCTTAATAGAACGCAACATGCCTGGGGCACCTGAGTGGCTCAGTCCTTTAAGCATCCTACGTTGGCTCAGGTCATGATCTCGCTGTTCGTGAGAACTGGAGTCTGTTTCAGATTGTGTCTCCCTCTCTCTCTGACCCTTCCCTGCTCACGCTGTCTCTCTCTCAGAAATAAATAAAACATAAAAAAAAAATTTTTTAAAGAAACATATTTCCCATACTATGATTTGCATGTTTCTTACCGACATATCTAGAACATTTATGATGTGTGCTGTTGAACCTCTCAAGCATGATATCATCAGTGCAGTAGTCACTCTGATGTCCTAAAGAATGTTGAGCTGGTACAAGTTCTACAGACCAAACTGTGGCATGGAATCAGAGTTGACGTAATGCTGAAGCAAGATGGGAAGCCATCCTTGCCAGATGAGACAAAACAGTTTTGGAGTTCTTTGCTTAATGGGAATGAGAAAAGAGCATATTCCTACCAGGAGCTGTGTGGATTTGCTGTACAAGGTCACCACCTTATTAAGCTCATGATAACTCATAATCAGTCTCTAAGACCCATCCGTCTTTTACGTCAGCTGGACTGTTAAATGTGGATGTTGTGGGAAGTTAGCACTTCTGTAACATTCAAGTTCAGGCCTAAGAATTGCATATGGGTACAAGTTGTGTGTTGGTGATGTGTCTAGGCTGGAGCATTCTAGTTTGCTTCTGCCATCTGGATTATGTAGGGCCATGGAGGACTACATCTATTTTGGTGCTAGGACTCATGGTCAATTCGTTTCTGCCAAAGAGATCTGATGTGCAGAGAGTTCTGATTCCCAGACTGGCCCTGTGCCAGTCAGCATGCCTTCCACGGAGATGACCTTGACTCTCCTGGTGGCCACTGACCTCTGGCACCCGGAACCCTGGCAAATGTGAGGGAGTCTATTTAATGCCGGCAGCTCTGAACAGCATCCCTGGTGGACATAAAAGAACCATGACGGTGCTTTTGAGAGGTGGTGGCATGTCCCTCACTAATGTATTTCTCAGTGCCTTGATGAAAGAGGTATCTCCTGGTCCCTCTCAGGGAAGAGAGTTAGGGGATTGATGAATGGCTCGTACACAGTATATCCACACCAACGTTCCTATTTCCTTGGGCGCCTGCTTCTCCATTACGCCAAAGGAGTTAACGCATTTCAACCTCTCATGGTGTGGACCACTGGGTTTCATTCAACCAACCAAGCATGCACAAGGTTAGAACCACTCTCCCTGCTCCAGGAAGCACATTGAGCAAGAATCTCTTGGAAAGGAAACCTATTCCCCCCTCCCTGGTTTAACACCCTCAGAATTGATCCCCACATGTATTCCCAAGACTTTTGCCAAGATAAGGAGCAAAATCTTGCACTTACTTCGATTTAGAAGTCTCTTCCATCCAGGTTTGGCTTTATTACATGAAGGACATGATGGCATTTAGCTCTGGTTTTAGTCAGAAGACCATGAGAAGTTGCAAAGTGACTTCCTCAGGCAAGAGCATTATAGGTCTTCAAGCACGTGATAAACAGCAGGGAGAAGGGGCTACGTCCTAAAACAAGGGAAGCTTTGTGTCCTGCGAGTCCTCCGCCCCACGTGTCCCATTTCTCACTCTTTCCAAGCAGTTCCCTAACGACCAATGAGAGACTAGAGGAGGTTGTGAAGCTAACAGATGTTGCAAATCAGAAACCCACAGAACCTGGCTGTTGGTTTTAGTTGTAGTTGCAAAAAGATAAGATGTTCTTTCCGTGGTCATTGAAAGACCCATGTTTTCAGACTGTGCCTTGAAGGAGAGGTTAAGACCTTGCCATTCATTTCTTAATCTTTCCAGCCATTAGGATGAACCACTCCACCCCCAGAGTTCTTGAATTCTTTGTCCCCTTCTTGCTGTTTTCCGGAAACAACTGCTTGGTTTCTCAGTGCCCTAACCTCGGTGGGACCTTCGCTATACTGGACGACCCGACCGCTGCAAGTGACACAAAGGAGTCATTTGTGCATGAACTG